TTTTTTATTTATTTAATTTAAATTTTAATTATAAAAATATATATTAATTTAATATAGGGCCCGTTTTTGTTCATACGCCATAGGCTTATAAAATGATAGGACCGACCCTGACTATTGCTAGATCCTAAGCAGAAGGAGAATACAAAGTTATAGTATATGTCTCAGCAAAAGTAACATGGTTAGTTGCTTTAATTAAAAAATTTCTACTAGGAACAAGTGCAATTTAGATTTTGATGATACCAAAAGTTAGGAAATTTTAGTCCCCAATTTATTTTATTTCTTAGACTTAGGAACTCAAATACTCAATTCGAATAGTCTGAATGGTAATTTGAATAGTTACATTTCAGATTGCCAAAAGATAGAACTTCAAAGAGTTGAAGACTAGAAGAGTTCAAGAAGGCATCTTCTTGAGTGGTAACATTGTACCCTATGTCCCTTATGAGCAAGGCAGTGGAAGCAAGTTTGTGGCTACGAATTTGCTTTCTGGACTAAAAAGTGTGATAGGAATAGGGATTCCAATTTCAATCCTCCCTGCAGATAATCGCCTGAACCCATCTTGCATGGGTCACGTTTTTTTTTTTTTTTTAATTTTTGGTGATAGTGGGCGGTGGGTCTTTAAAAAAGTAAACCCTCAGTTGGTCGGGTTGAATTCGAGTTCTATGTACAAACCCGCCTAGAACCCTACCCGACCCACCATGTGTGTGTGTATAATATATATATATATACATATATATATATATATACATATATATATATATATATATATATATATATATATATATATATGTATACATACATACATATATATGTATACATACATACATATATATATATACATATATATATATATATATATATATATATATATATATATATATATATATATATATATATATATATATGTATACATATATATATGTATACATATATATATATACATATATATATATATGTATACATATATATATATGTATACATATATATATACACACACACACATATATATATATATATATATATATATATATATATATAGTCAGGTTCAAGTGCGGCGGTGTCTTACGGTGCGGCGTCACCAATAGTTCAACAAATATACACCACCAACGTTAGAAAAATACACCATAAAAATACACACAAATTAGGTACGAATCACCAAAAACACATCATTAGGTGTGAGTAAAAACACCATACAATGTTTGGAAATACACCATTGGGGGTGGTGAGTTATATGGTGTATTTTTTGTTTTTTTTTTTTTGTTTTTTGTTTTTTTTTTTTTTTTTTACATTTCATTGTGTTCTGTTTCCCTTGGTGCATGTTGTTAACACTGTTGGTGTATTCTGAAATTTCGCCGCATCGCCGCACCTAAGAACATCGCCGCATTTGAACTTTTTCATATATATATATATATATATATATATATATATATATATATATATATATATATATATATATATATATATATATATATATATATATATATATGAATGTATTCAAATGAGGACAAGGATATTATAGAGGACTGTGAGGACTAATATGGTGCATTGGATTGTAATAATGTGTGGTGTAGATTAAGGGAGATTATTTCATTAAATTAGGTGGTTTATGCTATTTCGCTATTTTTTTTTTTTTATTCTAGGGGGGTAGTACTGTAATTGAACATTTGTATTTATTGTTGTATCCATTTTTCTTCGCTCAGTATTATACCGTATACGGCGCACCATCTCTCTCCTATTCCCCTAAATCTTTTTGTTTTACCGAGACCCTTCCCTTGCTATTCTCTCGTTCCGGTCGACGGTAGTAATGGCAGAAGTTGGTGGCTGTCGACGGTCAAAGCGGACGGCGGAGTCTCCTGCGGCGAGTATGTAGCTTGTATTTTTATTTTTTTCTCTTTTCCCTCATCCGTTTTTTTTATTTATTTATTTTTTATTTTTGCTTTGAATTGATAGGGTTTTCCGTGGGGGGGGGGGGGGGTTTGTTGTTGGGGTTTTGTGCATTGTGCTGAAACGTTGGTGGGGGAGGGGGGTATCTAATTTCTATTTATTGAATTCCCTAGTATATTGCCCAATTGCATTTGTTTGGCCGAATTTTTGTATGTTGGTCGTTGTATATGCGGTTTGCATACGCTGAGTTTTTGTGTTTTTGTATATTGGTCGTTCATCCAAAGTTTTTCTTTTAATTTGTATTAATTTCGTTTTTGGGGGTGATTATTGTGTTTATTCTAGATGTTAGGGATTATGTATGGTTTACTGTACTGTTGGCCATTTTTTTTTTCTTTTTAATCTGTAAAAATTTCGTATTTGGGGGTGATTATTATGTTTATTCTAGATGGTAGGGATTGTGTACGGATTTATGTTGTTACGCCGTTTTTAGAATTGTTTTTGTATATGTGTGTGCACTATTTTGTATATTAGTATGCTATTGACCTTGGTAGTGTGTGTCCTTTAGTTATTATTATTGTTGTAATAATTGAAGTTTTGTATCCTTTTTTTTTTTTTTTTTTTTTTTTTTTAAGGTAGAAAGCTTTTGTACTCTTTCATATATTTGTTCACAATGGCCTGACTCAAGTGGGTGCAACCAGCTTTTAGCCGGTAAGCATCAATGCTGCATATACAATTAAACACGTTAGTGGCACCTGAATCGCACTGACCAGAGTAATTAATTAACTTTACAAAGAGAGATGGACTAAATTGTTGTATAGGAACAAATATTATTGAGAAATGGATTGTTGTGTTTCACTTACCATGCAGTTTTCATAGTCAATGACAGGATACTCCCTTAAAACATATATGACATATTGTTGTGTGCACTTGGCATACTCCAGGTCTGTAAAAATGTGTTTGTAGATTGTTTGACCGTTTATGTTTGTTTGGGTGATTGGTACAGGGTGTTGTGTGCACTTTTATATTGCCTGTGTTCACGAGTTCAGTGTGTTGTGTCACTTGGCTTACATTTAGTTTGTTTTAGTGGTTGTGTTTGTTCATGTTGTTGGTTGGCAGCTAAGGAGGCAAGGGGTACACTTTCGGAGGCTTGTTCATCCGGAGTGCGTAATGATGATGACGATTTTGTTGACCCTCCGCGCGACAGAGCTGAACTCGAGCGCTTACGGTTCCATTACATTAAGGAAATTTGCACCATAGATATCAATGCACACCATACGAGCAATGTGGCACGTGCGTTGCGCTACCGTTTGAGTGGTTCGAGTACCACCAAAGATTGTTACATTGGACTTATCGCTTGTTTTGTCGTTTTTTTTTTTGGGTGCATTGGACTTAGTATGTTGCCATGGGCAAGATTGCTTTATCTTTTCATGTTCACTTACGACCTTCCTTTGTTAACATTGTTTCGATCTTGGGTTTGTTGAATATCAAGCTATTTGTTTTCATCCTTTAATGGTGTACAAAGCCGTCTTCCATGCGACTATATACATTTTGTTTATTTACTGTACAGTTGTCTTTTAATTTCACTGCCAGAATCAGTTCGTTATATGGACATTGTGTGGCCAGTTATTGTTGTATGTGTCCGCGTCTGTCTCTTTGGTGTGCCAGTGTACTAGTATTTCATGTTCTCATGGTTTGGTATAATATATGTGCTCAACGTTTTCCTTTCCTGTGCCCAATGACCATTATATATGTGCCACTGTGCTTAAAAATGTGTGCCCATACAATTTTTTTTAAAAAAAAAAACCAATTACGTGTTTTCAGGACAAATTAAACAGTCATCCATGTGTGCTTTGTTGTGTGAGTCGATAGTCTTCATTCTGTGCACGCTATTGTAAGTTTTGTGCATTGCGCCCACCTTCACGTGCATTACTCATGGTTAGGTTGCCATTTTCCTTCTAACCTCTGTGCGTATACTTGAATGCAGAGATATGCAATTATTCATTCATCGCAAAATGTAGTTGGTTTTTAAAATCGCATACTGTTTTTCTTCTTATGCACGAGTACGTAGTTTCAAATCTCTATTTTCTGTGTGCCCAGTATTTGTTTTTTATGTGCTTTTGTGTGTTTGTTGTGTGCCACCTAACTAATCTTGCATGTTTTCATGGCTTGTTATATATGTTGTCATCTTTTTCTTTCATGTGCCAAATGAACATTGGATCTATGCCACTATGCACTAAAATGTTTGCACTTGCGTGTTATTACTCTATTGTCTCGTCACATTTTGGAATAAATTCTTCGGTTTGTCCACGATATATTTCCTCCACGCAACCTGCATTGTTATTCATCTGTCTGATGCATTGTAATATGTTATAAAAATTAATAAGTGTACCTCAGCATTTTGGAATTTCTATAATAGCTTCTCAATGAACCTGTTATTTCTTCCTATAAACAATGGCAACTCTCTAATATTTTGTAAATTGGTATTACTACTGACACCTTCCCCAAATATAATACTTTAACCAATTGCGGCACCTTAGGTGTGCAGAGTGGCGTTGCTTGCTGTTTACACACTCGTGCACTCGACATTATATTAATATCCACAAGATTTTTCTAAACATGGCACACGAGATGTTAGGATATATGTATCAATAAAAAAATATCAGTCCAGAACATATGAATTAGTGATTCCACCCTCACAGTCGAACCTATGTTCTTTTTGTTTCCAGGTTGTTCTACTGCTTGACACCATTTATATATATCGTTTATCAGTTACGACCAACACTGTCTGCATGGCACACTACTTACTATCCCCGTGCACACGAAATACAAAATCATGGCACACAAGTATAACAGGCGTTGCTCACAATCCCCTAACCCATTGCCCTACATCCTCGCACTCACGCATCGTAGAATTTCTCTCACGTAAAATTTTGCATTCGCAGAGTTTAGAAGCTTACCGTTGACCATGGCGTTGGAAAAGTCTTTCACGATTTCCTCGTCAATTGTGGGTTCCAAAGTTGTCTCGTTATCGTCGTTCATTGCAGGTTCAGTACCTGGGTGCGGTTTCCTCCATTGATGTTCGCAGAAGATTCTCAGCCCCATCGCCTCTAATGTACGCACGGCTTCTACAGTGACGTTCCTTGTTTGTGTTATATTCTCTACCACAAATTTTACTCCTTTTTAAATGCTATGTTTGTTAATTATAATCCTTCCATAATTATAAATGCTCTCAAATGTCTCATTTGCCCCCTCTTAATATTTTTAGCCGTGAATACAAGGAAAATATGGACAAGATCTCATCCATTAAATCTCTTGGTTTGGATGGATATGATTTGTCCTCATAGTCCTCTATATATTAGTGTCCTCATGTGAAGTCAACCCTATATATATATATATATATATATATATATATATATATATATATAGGTACTAGTATGTAATTATTTATAAAAGTTTCTATAACTTCATGTAACTTTTTACTATTTTTATATCTAATTTATTAAGTTTATTTTTAAAAATTAACAATTTAGTGACTATATTTAAATATTTCTATTATCTTATATTTTGATGAGGATATAGTATTTCTGAATAATCAATAATAAGTCTGTACAGGAGTATATCTAGTAGCGAATAGTAAACCTATTACAAGACGAATACTAGTAACAATAGATAACAAATACTAATGATAATAGAGTCCTAATACTCCCCCTCAAGCACAAGGTGGACTAGCGAAAACATTGAGCTTGCCACACAGAGTAGAGAAACGCGGACCAGGGAGAGCTTTAGTGAACACATCAGCCAGCCGATCCTTTGTAGAAATGAAGCTAACCTGCAACTCATTCTTTGCCACTTTGTCACGAACAAAGTGATAATCGATTTCCACATGCTTCGTACGAGCATGAAACACCGGGTTGGAACAGAGATAAGTCGCACCCAGATTATCACACCAGAGAGTGGGAGGAGCTACCAACGGCAACCGAAGCTCGTGCAACAGAGAAACCAACCAGGTGACCTCAGCAGACACATCAGCCAGTGCCTTGTATTCAGCCTCTGTAGACGAACGAGCAACCGTCCGTTGCTTCCGACAAGACCAAGAAATCAGATTGCCACCAAGAAATACCACAAAGCCACTAGTAGACTTTCTGTCAGCCGGATCACCAGCCCAGTCCGAATCCGAAAAGGCGTGAACCGCAACAGAGGAGGACGAGCGAATAAAAAGACCAAAGTGAAGAGTTCCTTTAACGTACCGCAGAACACGCTTGAGCATTGCCCAGTGCTCAGTAGTCGGAGAGTGCATATGCTTACAGACCCGATTCACAGCAAAAGATAGATCCGGGCGAGTGACAGTAAGATACTGCAGAGCCCCAGCAAGACTGCGATACTGCGTGGGATCGGCATAGGGAACCACAGAATCAGAAACGGGCCGAGACACAGGAACCGGAGTAGCCAACGGTTTACAGTCCACCATACCTGCACGACTCAAGATATCTCGCATGTATCGTTGTTGAGAAAGGAACAAACCACTATCCCGTGAGACCGTCTCAATGCCCAGACAAAAAGACGGAGCACCCATGTCACGAATCTTGAACTCCGAGGCTAAGTCAGCAAGAAGTCGAGTAACACGCGAAGCATCAGACCCCATAACAAGGATATCATCCACATATACAAGCACATATAAAGAGACAGAGTCACGAGTATATATGAATAACGAAACATCAGTCTTGGAGGGTGAAAAACCAACCGACACCAAGAAAGCATGCAACCTGTTAAACCACGCGCGAGGAGCCTGCTTAAGACCATAGAGTGACCGCTGTAACAAGCATACATCATCCGGCCGTGACGGGTCCTCATAACCGGGCGGCTGTCTCATGTAAACTGTCTCTGCAAGATTACCATTGAGGAAGGCGTTGTGAACATCCAACTGCCGAATTACCTAACCGCGAGAGACGGCCAAGGAGAGAAGAAGCCGCACGGTTGTGGGCTTGACAACAGGACTGAAAGTCTCAAAAAAGTCCTGCCCTGCGACTTGATTGAACCCCTTAGCAACTAACCTAGCCTTGTGCCGCTCAATCGTGCCATTAGCCTTGCGCTTCGTCCTGAATACCCATTTGCACCCCACAACATTCATGCCAGGTGTGCGATTAACCAGACGCCAAGTGTGATTCTGAGGCAAGGCATTAAACTCAAGATCCATGGCCTCACGCCATTCCGGATACCGAACTGCCTGAGAATAACAAGTCAGCTCAGAAACAGTCATAAGAGCCACATGCTGCGTCGGTCCCAGAGAACGAGTTGCCATAACATGATACCGAGGCTGAACTAGTTTCGCCGTGCGGTGACCTCGCTTGGGTGCCTTAGGAACACCTGAGACTGCCCCATCCGGAGCCACGGCAGTCACGGTGCGGGAATCAGAAGCAGCACCAGCAGCCCCGGAATCTGTGTCCATCTCCGGTTGAGGATCCAGCCCAGAGGGGCAAACACCGGAGCTCACACCAACCTGAACAGCGCCAACGCCCCACGGCTCAATTGGGCGAGAGCTAGAGACCTGAGAAGGGACAGAAGAAGCAAACGGAAACACGGTTTCATCAAACCGCACATGACGGCAAATGAATACCTTGTTAGTAGTAGGATCAAAACAGCGATAGCCACGAAACGAAGGCGGATAACCAAGAAATACACACGGGGATGACCGATACTGCAACTTGTTACGATTGTATGGGCGCAACAGAGGATAACAGAAACAGCCAAACACACGCAAAAAAGAATAAGAAGGACTAGAGCGATGCAAACGATAATGAGGACTATCATTATCCAAAACCCGGGTCGGCATTTTATTGATGAGATAGACCGCAGTCTCAAAGGCATAATCCCAATATCGTTGTGGAACCGAAGCCTGGGCCAAGAGTGCCAGACCCGTTTCCACAACGTGACGATACCGACGCTCAACTCTACCATTCTATTCATGGGTATAAGCACAAGATTGCCTATGATTAATACCCAAAGAGACAAAAGTACGGTGCAACCGTTTATACTCTCCCCCTAAATCGGATCGTATAGAGATAATCTTGCGACCATATGAACGCTCAACTAGTGACCGAAACTGCTCGAAGATAGCATACACATCAGTTTTTAAACGCATAGGATAAAACCATACATAGCGTGTGTAGTCATCAACAAACAAAACAAAATAACGAAAGCCATTGACAGAAAGAAAAGGTGTTGAACCCCAAATATCAGTATATATAAGCTCTAAAACATGCGACGTAGTAGTATTGACACGAGGCAAGGGAAACCGAGAAGATTTCCCAAGCATACAAGCACGACACAAAACCGAACTATCACTAAAGCTACACTCAATAGAACACGAATTTAATATCTGCCGCAGCCCGCAAGACACGCGGATGAGGGTGGCCCAACCGACCATGCCAAACTTAAGAGGAGACACGAGAGGCCACAAACGCAGTGGGACTCGAACGAGAAACAGGCCAAGAATAGAGACCCCCCGAAGCCGGCCCTTTATATAGAACTTCCCTGGTTGAACGATCCTTCACAAAGAAACAATCAAGATGAAATTCAAAAAAGACATTATTATCACGAGCAAACCGTTGTACAGACAATAAAGATGCAGAAAGCCCAGGAAACTAAAGAACGTCAGACAACCGAAACAGTGTTTTAGAAGCGGCTACCGAAGATGAACCAGTACTAACAATAGGCAAACACTTACCGTCACCAACACGGAGATGATCCGGTCCATTGTAGGAGACCGCCGAGGACATCAAAGATGGATCCGGAGTGGCATGGTTTGACGCACCAGTATCAGGAAACCATTGCTGAGTATTAACCGAAGCCGCATCATCCACGAGATACGCAACATGCGCTCGTGGCCCTGGAGCTCCATCGTACCGGCGATAGCACGAAGCGGACGAATGGCCCTCGCCGGAGCAGATCTGGCATTGGACAGCCCCGGCACCACCTCGACCGCGGCCACGCCCTTTGCTGCGACCACGGTCGCGGTTGCCGCCGCCACGCCGCTGCCCGCCCGAACGACCGCCACCGCGCTGAGCCGCCATGGCGACTGGAGCAGCAGCAACATCACTGCCATCGTCAGCACAAATAAAAGCCTGCGAAACAAGAAAATCGGATAACTCGGGCAGAGACACCGGAGCGCCCCTTGTTAGCGACGCCACCAAAGGACGATATTCGGAATGCAAGCCCCGGAAGATGTACATATTCTGATCTTCTAGCGTCACCTGGCGGCCGGCAAGCGCCAAATCCTCAATAAGCACCTGAGCACGACCAAGATAGTCCGGGATCAAGGCATCCCCCTGACGCAACCCTTGCAGCTCGCCCACCAACCGGAGGGCATGGGCCCGTGTCGTCGAGCCGAGGACCTGTTCGATCGCCACCCACAAGTGCCGAGAAGAGGACTTACCAATGGCGAGATGCATCATCTCGTCGGACAAGGACGAGATAAACAAGGAGAGCACGACCTTATCTTGACGAAGCCACGCACTCCGAGCGGCGGAAGACAAAGCCGACGAAGTCACGGAAGTCACGGCAGCAGCATCCCCCTCGGCAGGCGGCATGGTAGGCATAGTGAACGGAGGACACACGGACGTTCCATCGACAAAACCCAACAACCCTTGGCCATCTAGGAACGGAAGAAGCTGAGTACGCCAAAATAAAAAATTGTGGGATGTCAACTTGATAGAGACGAAGTGATGCGCCGAAGAAAAAGACACCCCCGACTGCAGTGGTGCAACAAGCGGCCTCGGAAATGGTCCGTTCAGAACTTCCAACAGAGCCGCCATCAGAACCGACGTGCGCCATGAAGAGATGAGAGAGAGAAAACCTGCTGATACCAGATGAGGATATAGTATTTCTGAATAATCAATAATAAGTCTGTACAGGAGTATATCTAGTAGCGAATAGTAAACCTATTACAAGACGAATACTAGTAACAATAGATAACAAATACTAATGATAATAGAGTCCTAATAGTTTTAGTATATATCTAATGAATTTTATTACTTTTTTATATGTAAGTAATTTAAATATTATTGTTTGAGTAAAAAATAATAAGATGATAAGTGGTGGGTTTCCGTAGTGAGCACCCGCACTCGGTTGGGTAGGGGTGGATTTTGAAAAAGTCTACCCGATGCGGGTTGGGGATGGGGATGGGTGGAGATCGAAAATATAAGGTGGCCTGATGGATGTAGTCGTCCTCGACCCACCTCCAACCCATTGCCGTCCCTAGATAGGAAGCGCAAACTTGACCACATCCACCACCAGAACACGGAAATAGTAAAACAAAAGAGAAGGGTCGAGGAAGCCGAACATGAAAAGAAGAAAAGAAAAATTGAGGCCGAGAAGACAGAGAAGGAAATTCTAGAACGACTCGCATCTTTATGTAAGTTCACTCGAAATGATTTGGATAAAGTGTTGTTTGGAATTCTATTCAACATAGTCAAAGAGAGCGGAGTCTCTCTAGTTGATGGGATGACAACGGTAGAATGTATCAAATGGTAGAGATGCGGAGTAATAAAAGGAGATAACATCCTTAAAGCTTTCACAAATT